CTGCAGTCCACAGGGCCCTGGGCTGGAACCCGGAGTAGAGGGCGGGCCCGGGTTCCCCCCAAACCTCCCAATTGACCTGGACTGTGGGTTCTTCCAGAGGGGAAGGTGTCTGGGCTGTTCCCCAACCCACATGGTGAATCTGAGGCAAGAAAATCCGCCAATAAGCACAGGACCCACCAAGATAGAGGAACTTTGTCACAGTGTGCAGCACCTTCGACTAACCATAGATTTGGGTGCCTAACTATATCTCCAGACAGATGTGAACATTTTTAGCCTAAGCACTGAAACTGAACTAACTGAAATTGCTGGTAGATCCTTAAAAAGTGCAGTGCATACAGGGGATACTGTAACACCAGGGCAAATGCTTGGCCATCTCAGTGGGAGTTATAACTACACAACTGCAGAGCAGAGATGTGCCAAGACCCCACAAGAGGCACTGTTTTCTTTGCATGCTCACAGTTAACCCCAGTTTGCAGATGCAAACATGCCCCTTTAGATGTTGCTGTGTTTTAAGTTAGTTTATCAATTAATTAGGTCATGGCTATTAGAAGGACAACGCTTGAGCAACCAGAAATGAAGTTTGTGTTCCAACCCAAACTTGAACCCTCCCAACCTTCACTGCTGTTCGGGGATCCAGAGTCTGGGTTCATTTCTAGTCCATATCTTAAAACTTTTTCCCCTTTGTTATCACATTTAAAGGGGTTTTTTTTATAATAATAATAATAAATGAAACAAAACTGTAACAATACTTAACTTGCATAGCAACTTGTATCCCTTCCTTCAATCAAGAGTCACAAAGCACTTTACAAACCAATGAACCCACAGCAATGGCTGCATGGGGTTATGGTATGGTATGTCCAAAAAGTTACCCCCATTGACCTACTTCTTACTGATCCTTTTAGAGGGAAAGCCACTGGGATCCGCTGTCTCCTGAATATCTGAAGAGGTGACAGCCTGAAAGGGGGGTTACTCCCTTCACCTGAAGTGACCTGTGGAAGTTCTTTCCTCTCCTAAAGGCTGGGTGACTAGAAGAGGGGGAATGACTGGACAGATCTTACCACTAAACTGCCCTTGGAGTGGAATAAAGATTTCCACCTCCTCAGGCTTTCAGGAGGAGGACAGGGAGACAGCCCCCATGCAATCAAACCCCTTTTTCTCAAGCTTTTGGGAGGAAGGAAATGGCGATTCTATCCTTCTTCAAGTGCAGTGCAGTGAAGTTTGTCTCTATGGGCCCTTTGTTACTGGATAGCTCTCAGACTACTGTATACAACAAAAAACGGACCGTGTCTTACAATGGAGAGGCAATGTTTGCTTACATTTTAAAGTGTATCACTCATTCTAAGTGTATTTCAGCAATGAGGGAGCAGTGGGAAACATCTATTTTGTTTGTTGAAGCAGCAATTCACCCATTAGGGATATAGCCAAGAAAGATAGAAATCCTGAAAATCTTAAACGTTTGCCCTACTGCCTCAGAAATACTGGTGCAGTGGCGCCATGCAGTGGTCAATTTTTATTTTGTCGGCCTCCACCAGGGAGAATCTCTAGAGCAGGGGTAGGTAACCTGTGGCACGCGTGCTGAAGGCGGCACGTGAGCTGATTTTCAATGCCACTCTCACTGCCCGGGTCCTGGCCACCACTCCGGGGGACTCTGCATTTTAATTTAATTTTAAATTAAGCTTCTTAAACATTTTAAAAACCTTATTTACTTTACATACAACAATAATTTAGTTATATATTATAGACCTATAGAAAGAGACCTTCTAAAAACGTTAAAATGTATTACTGGCACGCAAAACCTTAAATTAGAGTGAATAAATGAAGACTTGGCACACCACTTCTGAAAGGTTGCCGACCCCTGCTCTAGAGCATGTAGTGTCAAGCTCTTCTTTCAAAGGGTTTTCATTGAATCAGCATTATGCTTTCACTAATACATTTGATAGCTTTTGGAGTCCAGTCACCAGGACCGGCTCTAGGCACCAGAAAACCAAGCACGTGCTTGGGGTGACACAATTTCAGGGGCCACCTTTTTGTTGTTGTTGTTGCTTTGGCAGTTGTGCTCTCTAAGGTTGTTTTTTTTTTTTTTTTGCTTGGGGCGGCAAAAAAACTGCCAGTCACTTTAGATTATGACTGTTTCACTGCACTGCACTGTGACTGACATGAAATCTCATCCAACTGCAGAACTGGAAGCAGTCAGTTTATTCATAGATTCATAGTTTCCAAGGCCAGAAGGGACCATTGTGATCTAATCTGA